TCTAAAATAAAAAGAGTTTAGTGAGAAGATTGGCATTTAAAAAATCTCTTTAATTTCTGACTTTTTAGATGACAACTGGATTTCCATATTTGCTTATGCATTTCATCTGTTGTGATATATTATTTTGGTTAAGTACATGAAGAAAATTTGACCCCACACAGACATGTAGTAGGAAAAAGGAAGAGTATTTTAATAGCCTCTTCAGGTAATTGTGGATAATCTTCTTCTTTATTAAATCAAAACATAACAAATGATAGTGTCATAAAAGGTGCAACTTGAAATCTGCATCTAAATACATGTTTTTATTCCATTACATTAAAATCCATGGGGTGTCTCTTATACTTTGAATGGAACTTTTCTTTGTGATTGTGTAACATGGTGAATTGAGCATTTGGAAAATATTGCTTCACTGAGTTATGCAGAGCATTTCATTATATATAATAAATAATCACATTTGTTAAAATCACCAATTTTGTCATAAAAGTTGTTACATATCAGGAAACTGTCAAGCTTATGGTAGCAGATACAAGTTATCCAAAACTCCAATTTTTGCTTGAAAGATCCAATTTTATCACTGGCAACAAACAGTGTCGGTTATTTTCCTTCAAGGCATAGGCGCACTTTATTTTCAAATGTCTGCCAAATATCCAAGTCTGAATAACCATAATTTATCAGTCATTATTCTTTCAATTAAATTGTAATTTCATGGAAAAAGTAGCCAGTTCACTATGCTTCTCTCTCTCTCTTTTTCTTTTTTTGAGACAGTCTCGCTGTCACCCAGGCTGGGGTGCAGTAGTGCGATCTCTGCTCACTGCAAACTTTGTATCCCGGGTTCAAGCGATTTTCCTGCCTCAGTCTCTGGAGTAGCTGGGACTACACGTGCCCGCCACCACGCCCAGCTAATTTTTGTATTTTTACTAGAGTTGGGGGTTTCACCCTATTGGCCAGGCTGGTCTCAAACTCCTGACCTCAAGTGATCCACCTGCTTTGTCCTCCCAAAGTGTTGGGATTACAGGTGTGAGCCACTGAGGCCCACTATACTTCTCAAACAACAGTACAAATGCTTTTCTGTGAGACAATTGCCCTTTGGTGTGCAGCAGAAGTGCTTTATTTCTACCTCCTATTTTTCCCATGTGAGTATAAAAAGCTGCATACTCTCAATTTGTGCTTCTAGTTAAGATGGAACTGGATTTGTCATCCCACCTGAAATATATTAAAAATGATATTCACAGTGGATTGGATAAAGAAAATGTGACGCGCACACACACACACCCACCCTGGAATACTACCCAGAAATTAAACATAATAAAATTTTGTCTTTTGTAGCAACATGGATGGAACTGGAGGCCATTATCTTTAGTGAAATAGCTCAAATAGCACATGTTCTCACTTATAAGTGGAAGCTAAATAGTGTATACACAATGACATGAAGAGCAGAATAATAGACATTGGAGACTTGGAAGGGTGGGAGGGTAGGAGGGATGAGAAATTACCTGATGAGTAAATGTATACTATGTTTTCAGGTGATGCTTACACTAAAAGCCCAGACTTCCCCACTATGCAGTATATCCATGTACCAAAACTGCCCCTGTATTCTCTTAAGTGTATAAAAATTTTAAAAACGATGTTCATATATTAGAAAAGAGGTATCACAGGAAAGTGGTAAGAAAAGGGGAAAGAAATGAGATGAGCCTGATGTTTTCTCCAGCTTACTGCTTTGAGAGTTTCCAGGATGCGGTGCAGGTAGGAGGAATCTACATAGAGCTGGTGGTCTCCATGAGATGAAAAGGCAGACTTGAGACTCTGTCCTCCTGTACTCTGTCCTGCTAGATTTAAAATCTATCTTCGTGGAGAGAGATCTTCAGAAGGCAGTAAAACAACAGTTTTATTACTTCATCAATGACATTCTTAAGTGAGACTGGCTCTTTTTCTTTTCTTTTATCTTTCTTTCTTTTTTTTTTCTTTATGCATGGCAGTGAAAAATACAATGATGGCTGGGCACAGTGGCTTACGTCTATAATCCCAGCACTGTGGAAGGCCGAGGCAGGTGGATCACATGAGGTCAGGAGTTCGAGACCAGCTTGACCAATGTGGTGAAACCCTGTCTCTACTAAAAATACAAAAATTAGCTGGGTATGTTGGTGCATGCCTATAATCCCATCTACTCAGGAGGCTGAGACAGGAGAATCGCTTGAACCTGGGAGGCGGAGGTTGTAGTGAGCCGAGATTGTGCCATGGCACTCCAGCCTGGAAAACAAGAGTGAAACTCCTTCAAAAAAAGAAAGAAAGAAGGAAGGAAGGAAGAAAGGAAAGAAAGAAAGAAAAACACAATGACTACAAGTATAGATTTTCCTCCTCAATAGTACAGTTTTGTGTCCCGTCTTGATAGTGGCTAAGGTGCCAGCATTTTTACCCGTCATTGCTTTTGCAATATCGGTGCAAAGTCAATACAGTAGAAAAGGTAAATCTGGTTTTGGTATTATTATAAACGTTGATTTGACATGGGAGACAGCCAAGAGCGTCTTGGGGAATCCCCAGTATCCATGGACCACACTTTTGAAAACTATTGTTTTATAGACCCTTCTGGTCATTACTACTTTGGTCTAGTGGCGTCACTTTAAAGGTGGGACTGGGTGTAGGAACATCCTGCCATGGCAGGTTCATGGAGAAGATGTTTTGGTAATTGGGTCCTTCATTTCCCTTACATCACAGTATAGAATCTATACTGTAATAGAAGTAAAAATTTCTCCACTTAAGAACAGTGTTATCACTGAATGTACAACACATTTTTCCATGATGAAAAACAGGGTCTGAAACTTAAAATGGAAAAGTCATTAGTTATCTTCCATAGGAAGAGTTCGAAGAAAGGAAAAGTTGAAGTAGGGCAAAAATAGCAGATATAAGGGATTTCTAAAAGTTTCCCAAATGAAGGAAGAGAGAAAAGAATGAGTGAAGGAAAGGAGAAGGATATTTAGTGTGCAAGACACTAGAAAAGGCATGCATAAGGAAAGAAGGGATACATACATAGTGGTGTTGGATTTGTAGATTCCTGGAAAGTTGTCAGAAAAGCTGACATATTAAAAAAAAACCCAATGTATTGAAATCAGTCTCACTAGCTATGTGGAATGTTGTAGATTTGTACCAGATACAATACATGGATGCATTTGTGGTGGATACAGGAGATGCGCTGCCCAGATCTGCCCCCAGGGAAGGACCCTGCTCCAGCTGTTAGAGGCCGGCTGGCTGACAGCCTCTAGCAGTCAAGCTCTTTTGGCTGGAAAGCCGCTTGCAGGAAATCACTCCATGGAGGTGCAGAGATAAGGCCCCAGTCATTTTGGCCCAGTATGGAACAACTTTGACAGTCTTTTTCAGCTTCAGGACTCCCATGGAGTTGGGTGAGGTTGTTGGGCCTGCTTTGCTGCTAACTTCTCCCTCTGTTCTCTCCTGTTCCCCCTTCTTCCTCCCACAGGGGTTTGTCCCAAGGGCACTCCCTAATACACATCCTGCATGTTAAACTCTTGTCTCAGAGTCTGCTTCCTGTAGATACCAAACTGTAAGAACATCTTATTGACTTAAATATAACCAAAATTGGAGAACTTTAGGAAACAGAAAATCATCATTACATTATGTACTAACATTTTAGCTTATTTCTATATTTCTTGTTTGGAATTGCTTATACTTAGCATGATAGTACCTCTCACATTTTGTTTCATTTAGGTTTGCTATTTCCATGTCCTCTTTCATATAGGAACCATACTGTGAAAAGACATAAAGGTAATAGGGTAAAACAAAACAAAACAAAGGCTCTTTATTACCCAGCCACTCGGGAAATGCACTACTTCAAGGTTGACCCAGGCAGCAAGAGAGGAATATATTAGGGAATGTGACAGTGGTTTAGTTCTGAAACTGGGGCCAATAGAAAGTTCTGAAGGGGTCCGATGATCAGAACTGTCTGTGGGTGTAATAAAGGTGTATTTAATTTTATTTAAGCCTAGAGATTTAAACTGTCACTCAAAACTCTCAGACATGAACAGGGTTAGCAAATGTGAACATCAGGAAAGGAGTTATTTACATCCTGTCTTCTCCTACAGCTCCAGAGGAGGGCAGAACAGTGTATTCCCAGGCAAGCCCTCGCTTTAAAAACTCATAGCCAAGACTGGGAAGACAGAGTGAGTGGGTGGGCCTTCTGGCAGCTTCCTTACCTTCAAATCTTTGCTCTCTGGGAAGTGGTTCTGCTTCAGTGTCCTTGTTCCGATTTTTCTGGGAACTAGATGTTACTGGGAGATGACTCAGAGCAGGCCAAGCCCTGATCCTCACTGTGGAAGCAAAAGAGGCTGGTGAAAGTCACTGTCCTGACAGCTTGGACCAGAAACCTACCGACAAAACTAAAATGTTTTCCCGCACTAGGATTATCTGGATAACAACGACCTTTGATGTTACAAAGTAAATAAAGTCGTGTTTGGCTTTTCCTTTTGTGGCCATGCCTTGGCGAAGATGACTGCCTTCAGAGCCGCTGTGAATATTTTAGATCTCATTATTTCAGACAATTACTTTGACCATCCTTTTCAATGTGAGAGTATGATGGTCTGTCTTCTGTGAGGCAAGGCAACTATCTGTGAGAAAAAAGACAAAAGGCAAAGATGCACTGTCATACTTATCCTTGCAGGTTCCAGTACAGGCTTTCTATGGGGGGGGGTCTCAGTTTCCCCGTCTGTAAAATGGGATTAGTGGATTAAATCCGGGAAGGGTGGACAAGCACCTAGGACGGTGCATGGTGCAGTGTTCAGCAGACGTCGATTCCCTGTCCACCCCTTCTTTAGGAGCTGTGGGAAACACTTCATAACTCCCTAGGGTCTGGTGAACCCTTCCTCCCTTTTCTATTCCCTGTTTTGGCATTGGAGATCATAAAAAGCCTCTTCCATGTCTCTTCCTTCCTTCCTTTCATCCTCTCCCAGAGAAGGAAGTGGCCGCCTTTGTTCCCTTGGATTCGGAAGCTTGTGTCTGTCACCCAGGGCTGCCCAGCCCCGGGGTTTGCGAAGGTCCGGGGTAGGAGGGCTGCAGCCTGCGCGACGCGGCGGGAGGCGACCCGGAGGCGATGGGAAGGCGGGCGCAGTCGACCCAAGGGTGGAGAAGAGGGAAGGAGAAGGACGCGCGTTCCCGAGCTCGTGACCGCCAGCGGCCAGGGGAACTCGCTCCCAGACAGCCTTGGAGAGATGGCAGGCGGAGGGGACCGGCGAGTCGTGGGCACCCTCCACCTGCTGCTGCTGGTGGCCGCCCTGCCCTGGGCATCCCGGGGGGTCAGTCCGAGTGCCGCAGCCTGGCCAGAGGAGAAGGTGAGGGGCTGTTTCTGCGTAGTTGTACTTGAGCGGCTCTGGTCCGGTGCGGGGACCCCCGGCCCGGCCAGCCCTACCTAGGCAGAGCGGGAGGCGGGGCAGGGCCGCGGTCCCCAGCCCAGGCACCGGCGCCCGGAGGAGTCGGGGCTCTGCGTACTCGCCGGGGTGCCTCGGCCGGTCCGGGGCTGCTCTGGAGACGCCAGGGGGGCTGGGTGATGTCACTGGTCTCCCCTGGGCTGCGGTCTGATGGGGGTGCTGATAGGCACAGGAAATGTGTCTCGCCAGCGGCGGCTGAGCCGGGAGGCGAGGGCGCATCGCGGCGCCACCGCCCACTCGGGACCCGCGAGGCCAGCGGAGCCCGCGCTCCGGGGCCGCCAGGGTGCGGGGCGCGCCTGGGGGTGTGCCCGCAGCTCCCCTGCTGCTTCATCCAAGGATGCTGCTGGGGCGCTGAAGTGTCCCTACAGTCTCAGGACGGATGTGTGTTGTTTGTTTTAGATTTTTAAAAAGAGCAACTCGGAAGGAAGGACCTTCACTGGAGACCTGCTTACTTTAAAAACCTTTTTTTTTCTTTCCCCCTTAAAAGAGGGTACCTGCTATTTTCAGAGAAAATGGATCTAGTTGTAGGTAGAAATCGCATGGAAGGAACTTAGGATAAAAGTGATTTGCAAGTTCCCTCTGCAAGAAGTATATGGGTTCACAATTACTTCCTTTTCTTGTGTAACAGTTTTGAAATCATGAAATTGCTAAGGGATTGTGCAAATGTTAATGATGTTAGCGTAAAATAGTATGTTATAGAGATATTAAGAAAAGCAGCAAAGTAAAGCGATATAAACTTTGGCAGTGTTATTGAGCAGACGTTTTACACACTTAGAGTATGCCTGTATCTACTCAAATGTTTGAAATACAGGGCATACTGGCGAATGCCCACTCCCACCCAGCTACATGCATATGTACGTGAACAGCCCATTTCAATTCTTCGGATCTAATGTAATCACCACTCAGGGGTCACAGCAGGCCCCACTTACACATGGAGACCACAGGCCACAGGGAACCTGGTGGGAGTGAAGGAAGTCGGTAACATAAGAATAACTTTACTATAAGAAAAACAGCTTTCCATGGGGTCCCATGAAGAAGAACGTGGAACGACACAAAAAAATCCTCTCCTTCACTTCACTGAGAATACCTTTCTGGTCAGAAATTGGGAAGAGAACATTACAAACTAGAATATGGAGCCAAACCAAAAGTATCTTTGTGATACATCTAAATGGAAGGGAATAAATGAGATGGAAACTGAAAAAAAAAAACAATCTGAAAAGATCATTTGTAGGTGTGTGTAGGTGGGGGTATTTATGGGTGGGAAAAGGTGCTGTGGTTCTTAAAATATTTTAAACCAATGAAAATTTAACTTTTGAGAAACATTTTTTAAAGCATTAATTGAATCTCTTTTATATTTATTTTAAGAAGTTTCTGATCACTGTTCCATTGAGAAACTGAATGTTTTCAAATTGTTAAAAGCGAATGACAATCAGCCATCACATTTCCCAATTTCTAGCTTCCTCCCCTTATTCTGTAGACCTTCATAAAGTCTTGCAGCCTGGGTGACGAATCGGTCCACACTAAAATATATGTGCTTTCCTACTTTTTACAGTGTCTGACTATTTTAATCATATGATGTATGTCCTTGGTACACTGATCTGCCAGCAGGTGAGGTGTGGTAAAGAAAGCATCGATTTTGAAATCCATTTCCTTCGTTTTGAAATAAAGGTGTGTCTCTTTCAGTGGCTTTGAATATGTAAAAGCAGATCAACTCTAGTTTATGGTGGCATTCAGAGACCATGATTTGATTATATATTTGAAACCTGGAAACAATTGTTCCATAATAACAATACTATAAATTGTTAAACTCCCAGGTGGGCACACACATGTGTATTTAGAGGCATTGGCATCTGGGTATGGGGTGATATATATATATATATACACACACACACACGTCACTTGAACTTCACATAACCCCCCATGAGTGAATTCATCCTCAATTTATGGATGAGGAAACTTGACAACTATTACACCAGCGAACTGAAGAGCTAGGGTTTGGCTTAAGCCCTGATCTCTCCTTTCTTCTTCTATGCTTTTCTCATGATAGATGAGTCCTGGCTGATGTACCCAGAACAGTGCCCAGGTAGTGCAAAAGTGTGGGGCTAGCAGGAAAGTTGGAGGGCCAGATGAAGAGCTTACTCTCTCTTTCCGGGCCGGGGTGGACTCTAAATGGCATTCCAAAACAGGTAGTTTGTTTTTGGTACCTTCTCTTCTGTTATCCCCTATTTTCTCCTTTCCTTGATCTCCTTCATGCAGCTTAAAGGTCATCATTATTCTGGGTGTTGATCCATATTCCAGAGTTACTTTTTCTGAACCTTCCCCAGGCCTTTTGGTCACCAGTCCTATTCCTTTAGTACAGGCCCATTCCTTTAGTACAACATTGTCAACCAGCTGTTAAACAGAATCTCATTAAATCATTCCTCCTTAGGTGCAAATGACTGATGGCTTTTGAGGGCTTTATATGTTCTTTAAAAAATATTAACTCCAATAAGCTAAAAAGTCTGGCTTCTATTGAAGTCTTCTAATTATAAAGTTGACATGTGCTCATTTTAGAAAACTTGGAAAATACAGAAAAATACATTAAAAAGAAAACTAATGCCACCCATAATCCCACTTTTCAGAGATAATTGCTATTAACCATTTTGGTGTTTTTATTTCTATTTCTCTCTCTCTCTCTCTCTCTCTCTGCGTGTGTGTGTGTGTGTGTGTGTGTGTGTGTGTGTGTGATTGTTGTTTTCGCATTCTAATGGAAGCAACAATGGAGACTCTAAGGCAGGGACGTGAAAGTCAGTGGCGGACGGGGTGTTGGTAGGGAGAGAAAGACCAAATGTCATTTTGGAGCCTTACCATCTGGTTGGTAAGTACTATGAGATCCATTTTACAGATATGGACTCTTTCCTAGTTATGGCTAATAAGTGAGGGAGCTGAGATTTCACCCTAAGTTGTTGTGGTTAAAGCCTGCACTGCTCTGCTTTTAAGTAGAGGGCTGCTTACATTTAAAAAAAGACAGATGTTGTCTTATTCAGTTCCCAACCATTCCCCCAGTGAATTTTTAGTATCAGTGGCTTCTGACACACAGAATGAATTCAATAACTGCTGATTGAGCTGACTTTGCAGACAGACAGAGGTGTTAATCTGAGAATTGCCTGGGAGACACTCACATAGAATAGAAACTGGACTTGCATTGGCCACAATTCTGTAATGATCTCCCTTTAATTTAATGTTTTGGAACCTCAAAACCCTTTGCAAGCTGGGCCAACTCTATCAATTATGTAATGAAAACCCTCTTTGGCCTGGCACCACATGATTAGCCTAGAGGAGATGCTTCAGGATATCTGGTTCACACTTTTGGCTGAAAGATTCTTGTCACTCAGAGCAGACTTACTGTCCTTTCTGTCTGGATGAAAAGACAAGGCAGGGGCTGTAACAGAGCCTCATTCCTCTGAGAACACCTGCACTGATAGAAAATTGTCTAAGTGTCAGAAAATTGTCTAAGTGTCTTTTAACTGAGATAACCCTACAGTAAATTGGGGTTTGCATTTACCATTGGGCTCAACTTTGTTTTTGCCTGAGTTACTTTCCCCCTGCTGAGCTCACTCTTTCTTTACAGCTTTTTCCTCTTACTCATTCATCTCATCTCCACCTAAATTTGTATATTTATTGAGTTCTGAGCATAAGACCCCTTAAACATTGAATGCATGCTATTTAGGTTGGGAAAGTCAAATGCTTTTCCACACAGGGCTTTAATGAATAGAAGGCTTAAGTAATTGCCTGAGTGTAGTTGGTTGTTTCCTCTTCTCTGTCCTTCAGTTACTGGGAAGCTTTTAACTCTGTGATTTTACAGGGGCATCTTTGCCCCCAGAGGGGCGAGGAGAGTCAGGGCTCTTTACTGAAGTATGTTAATTAAATGGTTGAGCCCAGGAGGTTGAGGAGCAAACACATGTAAGTCTTTAGATTCATCAGCATCAGTAGGCCTGGCCTGTCTGCTGGATTTACCCTTTAGTTACCCATTAAGCATTTTTTGGTGCTATTTGCCAACTAGGTTTCATCCACAGTATCTCTTATAGTTAGAGATGCTTGGGGGAGGCGGCATTTATTTTGTTCATGTTTTTTCTTAAATATCTTAAGAGCTCTTTCAAGCCTCTAGAAACCAGCTATTTAAACACAAGTGATTTCGTTTCACTCTGGACATGGAGTGAAAGCTTCTGTCCACAGTGACCAGATGGGCTTTGGGATAGAGTATTGGACAGTAAATAGACAAGGAGCTACTTGTCAAGCAGCTTTTTACACAACAGTTTTGGTTGTCATAGTGACTGCTTGGGTCAACCCAGCTCTTCATCATCAGAAGCATCGAATGTCAGAAATTCAAAAAGAGCAAAGCCCAATAACTTTGAACCACAGCACTTCCTGGCCATGGCACCAGGTAGCCACCTGTCTCTTCTGTCTTTATGTTTGCTTGTGCATTCAACTGATTTGGTATTTACAATGCAGAAAAATGCCCACGTTTCTTTATTATTATATAAATACAGTCTTAGCAAAGATAATTTTGGAAAGATAGTTCATCTGTTGATTGCTATTTTGATTAATTTGCCCAATATTTATCAAATGCTCAAGAGGAACCAGGTCCTGTGTGGCCTGTGTGGGAGAGAGAGGTAAGCAACAGAGAGAGAGGGAGTTCCAGCCCTTATGGAGCTGATGTCTTGTATGAAAGGCAGACATCAAACAAGTAAACACACAAAGAAGTGGCCTCCAAGCTGCAAGCTGAAGTGAGCAGGAGTTAGCCAGGTGAAGAGGAAGGGAAACAGCTTGTAAGGCAGAAGGCACCGCAGACGCCAAAGCCTCATGAGGGCATAACCTCAGAGCATTTGAGGCCTGGCCAAATGCCAGGGTGACCGAAGCATGGTGAGCAAGGGTGAGGGGGGAGACCAGACAGGCTTCTGTTGGCCGGGTTGAGTAATAATTAACCATGGAAGTCTTCTGACCTCTTGCCTCCGTATTCTTCTTATCCCTTGGCACATTTCTATTGCTTTGTCTTTCAGCTTCAGCTTCAGCTTTCTTTTTCCAACTGCTGTTTGGGAACTGGCATGAGGACTTAGATCCTGGAGGTACCAAGGGATTTAAAGCCTGCACTGACAAGTTTATCAAGGAAAATATTTAAAAATGTCCTACCAATAAACAAACACAAATCTTCTGATGTTCAGGCACACCATCAATATTCAGGAATAAACTGGAAGTGCATAAATGATACAGTGAGGCAGAGTAAAACTAGCGTGGGATTGGAAATCCACAGACGGGATCTTTTTGTGGATTTACATATAACTCTCCTTCAACCTCAGGAAGTCAACTGGTTTCTATGAATCTCAGTTTCCACAAATATAAATGAAGGAGGTTGGAGACTAGAGCATCTCTAAGTGGCTTTTCCAACTTTAAAATTCATTCTATGGCTCTTTAGTGTTTGATAGAAGGAAATAATAACTAATACATTGAATATTTACTGTGGCAGTTTACATATGTTAGTTCACTTAATTCCAGTTACGCTAGGATTCAGGTGTTATTACCTCTGTTTTACAGATGAGGAAATTGAGCCTTACTGAGGTTTAGTAACCTGGAAGGAGTTACAGCTAGTAGGTGGTGGGGTGCTGAGTTGAGAGGGTCTGTCTGATCCTATAGCCTCTTTGCATGGTAAGTACTGGAGAGTAAACAGCCATCTCAGAGTGTAGATGAGTGTAAGTAATTAGGCAATAAGCATTATCTGAAGTCCAGTTTCACACCAGTCACATGGACTGGATCACATGGAATGAAAATACTTGCCTGACTACTTAAACATATTCAACTAACGCTGGTCCTGAAAGGAACTATAAACTAGGCCTCCCCTAACTTCTGTTTTGCCTTCCAAATAATTCAATATTCTTATGTCATCCTCATCCTTCCCCTTAGGGAAGGAGTCATCGGATCGATTATTCTCTTCCTGTTGAGGAGGAGTAACACATTCCATTATTAGGTGCCTGATAAACATATAATGAATGAATGGTTCATCATTACCAGTATCATAAGAATATACGGTATGTGTGAAGTCATCAAAATACAAATTTGAATGTTATGTGAACTTTAATGGAATTTAAAAATAATTTTAATTGAAGTTAAAAAGTTTACTATTTAGTTGGCTATAGACTCACCAATATCAGGCTGAAAGGAATTGCAACAATCATCTGAGTTGGCACTGTCTAATAGAAATAATGACTCAGGGCCAGGTATGGTGGCTCACGCCTGTAATCCCAGCACTTTGGGAGGCCAAGGCGGGTGGATCACCTGAGGTCAGGAGTTCAAGACCAGCCTGACCAATATGATGAAACCCCGCTCTACTAAAAATACAAAAATTAGCTGGGCGTGGTGGCATGCACCTGTAATCCCAGCTACTCAGGAGGCTGAGACAGGAGAATTGATTGAACCCAGGAGGCAGAGGTTGCAGTGAGCCAAGATGATGCCATTGTACTCCAGCCTGGGCAACAAGAATGAAACTCCATCTAAAATAAAATAATAAAAAGAAATAATGACTCAGCTACTCAGGAGACTGAGGTGGGAAGATTGATTGAGCCTGGGAGGTAGAGGTTGCAGTGAGCCAGATTGCACCACTGCACTCCAGTCTGGGTGACAGAGAGAAACCCCAGCTTAAAAAAAAAAAAGATTATGAAAGAAACATATGTAATTTTAATTTTTCTAGTAGCCACATTAAAAAAGTGGAAAAAGGGTAAAATTAATTTTAATAATATACTTCATTTAACCTAATATATCAAAAATTTACAATTTCAACATGTAATCATTATAAAATTTTGAATTAGGCTTGCTATTAAAATCCTATTAAAATTCGGGGACCCCTTAATTTGTGGCTCATATATAAAGTCTTCCCTGACTACTCTTACTCTAAACTGTGTAAGATTTACTTAGGCTAACAGTTGGGTTTTAAAATTATTTTTAAATTTTTTATTGAGACAGGGTCTCCTGTTGCTCAGCTGGAGGGCTCAGTAACACAGCTCACTGCAACCTCGACCTCCTGGGCTCAAGCAATCCTCCCACCTTAGCCTCCTGAGTAGCTGGAACAACGGGCACACACCATGGGTCACCACACCCAGCTAATTTTTTCATTTTTTGTAGAGACAAGGTCTCATTATGTTGCTAGAGCTAGTCTCAAACTCCTGGGCTCAAGCAGTCCTCTTGCCTCAGCTTCCCAAAGTGCTGGCATTACAGGTTTGAGTCAGCGTGCCTGGCCCTAACAGCCCAATTTTAAAGTTGAGTAGTTTAATTTACCTAATTTGACATAAAGTTCTCCCTTATTTTGAAGTTTTAAGCAATTAATTGCAAACATGTCCGAGTCTTACACATATTATGAAACGATAGCCAGTTAAATGATTTCATTGAATCCTCAGAATTATCACCAACCAGCCATTTTGAATTCATCGGCTCTTTGGCAAATTGCAGAAGGCACCAGTATCTCTGAAATGTGGCGAAATGACTTACAGCCATTGCTGATAGAGCGATACCCGGGATCGCCTGGAAGCTACGCTGCTCGTCAGGTGAGAACATGGGACATAAACCTCAAGGTTGTGTGAATACTTTGCTTTCCCATGAGGGATAATGTTATGGCTGAAGTTCTGAGGTGTCTAATATTCAGATCTGTCATCTCCTTATTCACCAAATAGTCAACCAAGAAAAATCAAACGACTGAGAGTACGTGTCTGTTCTGAATACTAAGTGGTACATGTTAATGTCAATAGTTTATGTGTGAAGTCTCTATTTGGGGTGCAACATTACACAGTCCTTAACTCTTGACCATTCAATTACACACCCCGAGTCTCCCAACCAAGTTTTCTTGAATCCTAAGCAATGAACAGCAACAGCCTTAGGGAGTCCTTGCTTGAAGGTTCTGGGCCAAGAGTATCATTGTACTATCAGGCCATCACTTGCCTTAGGGAAATTGTATTCTCCCTGGAGGGACAGTTAAGGCTCGTGGTAAGCTACATTTCTCCAGGGCAGTGCTTCTCAAACTTCTGACTCTGACAGAAAGTAAAAAAATGGATTTTACATTTTATACACACAAACGTACTGGTATATTTAACTGAAACAAAACTTCCATGAAAAATACTGTTATTAAACTTTCATTTTACTGCGATATTGTCAGTTCTATTTTATTGGTTCTTAAAAAAATGCTGGCCATAACCCACTAAAGTGATTTCAAGACCCATTGATTTTACCATCATCGTGGAGGGTAGAGTAAGCTGGGCCAGACCTTGGATGTGTCTTTGCCTCCTTAATGTCAATCTTCCTAAGCAATCTGAAACCTCACCTCTGAATATCTGTTTTTTTCAAACTACCCCATTTTAAGGGGCCGCTTGGGAAGGAATGGGACTGGCCCTTCACATCCTCTTCTGAAACTCCTCAGGCAAAAGACCTTGGCACCCACTGCTGTGCCCAGAGTGAGAACTGCGAGTCCCGGGTGCCCAGCTCTTGAGCTCTTCCTTTCGATTTCAGAGTCTCGCTCTGTCGCCCAGGCTGGAGTGCAGTGCCAAGATCTCGGTTCCCTGCAACCTCCGCCTTCTGGGTTCAAGGCATTCTCCTGCCTCAGCCTCCCCAGTAGCTGGGACTACAGGCGCATACAACCACGCCTGGCTAATTTTTGTATTTTTAGTAGAGACGGGGTTTCACCATGTTTCCCAGGATAGTCTCTATCTCCTGACCTTGTGATCTGCCTGTCAGCCTCCCAAAGTGCTGGGATTACAGGCGTGAGCCACTGAGCCGGGCTGGGCTCTTCCTTTCTACCCAGTGGGTAGCCTCTGCCCCTCAGGCTAGCCTAGATATCCATATGTCTGTCTCCCCATTGGCCTCTTGTCTTCCATCTGAATAGCTCTGGCTTCTCCCAAGGAATTAGACAGTAGACAACCTGCAGGCACCTTAGTTCTGTCTAACCTTTAGGGAGAGAGAAGAATAATAGCGATGATGGCTGACTTTCACTGAGCAGTGTTTCTGGGTCAGGCACTTTGCTGAATTCTTTGCATAGATCATCTCGTTCAGCCTTCACAACAGTGTGTGGATGCTATTATTATCTCAATGTTAGGAATTTAAAAAGATCTGAGGTTGAGGTATATGAATTAACGTGCTCAAGGTTATTCTTGTACCAGTGATGAGGCCAGAATCTGCTTGAGATCTCTATCTTATCACTGGAGAGCTGGGAGGAATCAGTTCTGTGCTTCGTGCCCTCGAATGTCTCCAGCTCTCGATCTTCTTATGCCCAAGTTGGACAGTAAGGCACATACTATTCACTTTAACAATATTGCCTGGGCCTTATCTCTCAAGCATTTTCTTAAAAGAAGGTCAGGGCACTTAACTGGCATTTTCCAAAAGCCTCAGTTCCTTGTTAGAAAAAATCGAGGTCTCTGATGCTTACTCTTCCCATTCAACTCAACCTCTTTTATTTCCCCATACCATTTGCCCAGAGCACTGTATATACCCAGAAATGATATGCATACTTCAGGCCTGAGGTTCCTCGCCTGCAGGCTCTGGAAATCTATGAACACAACAAACATCGCTAGTTGATCTTTAGCTTCAACAGAAGACAGTATATAGCATAAATAATATACATAGATACTGTTGTGATTAAAAAGATACATATTCATTTAAAAGTGTTACTAAAGTTTCAGTAACATTCTCTACTATCATATGGGGGTGGAGGCAAATGAGAAATTTATAGACAGTATTTTAGAATGTGCTGGGAACTACTGCTGGGCTGCCTATGCATGGTCTGGCTGATGGCTATGTTAGATATCTCACTTAGATTCCATTTTAGAATTTTTTGAGAAGAAAATTACCATTAATTTTTAGAGACCTATCTTCTAAGCTGTGGAAGACAAAGGAATTCTCATTTTGAAAGTGAGGCAGATGACAGAGTAATTATGAGGGAACTACGCGAATGGCCTTAATTTGACTAACATTAGATCCTTTCATGTAGAACTGAATTGAAACAAAAATGATTGAACCTTTTTTTTTTTCTCCTGAGGACTTTTTGAACACTAGATGAGATGTTTTATAATGCAGAGTTTCAACGATATTGCTAGAGAAGATCCTCAAATATTAAAAAAGGGTAAACTTGATATAAAATTGGTTTGTGAATTAACTTTCGTAGTTATCAGTAAAGATGTGCATTACTATGGATTCTCTTTTACAGAAAGAGAATATTTTGGGGGAAACCTGTCCCACATTATGTGTTTTCCTGGTCTCTGATCGATGACCCCAAAGCTGCCTATTGGATTATTAGGAAATTTTATTTTGAGGAGATGAGTTATTTGTAAAATAAATAATTTGAAGATAATACATTTGGGGCTATTTCATTGATTTATAAGATAGAAATAAAAAATTTAAAAATTAGGATGATAAAGTCTCACAAATGGGCAAGCAATATCCTTTGTCTAAAAGAGGCAAACTAGAAACTTCAGGGAGTAAAATCCCCCACAGATGCACAGCGCATCTGAGCCGCTGAAACTGAATATCATCAGATACATAGATCCCAGGTGCACCCTCAGTCCAGCCCCCTAAGAGGAGGAGCCTGAGGGACTCATATATGGTGCACTCAAGAGGAAAGAGGTACCTGAGTCTTTGGGTGGCAGAAGTCAGCATCCTGACGACGATGTGTTTGCAGACTTAGCGCAAACACTGGAAAATCAGCTTCCTCCAAACAAATCTGGTCTACTGATGTCATTGTTGCTCAGAACCTGGAAACTAGAATTTACGTTTAATTAAATGAAACCCAGGATCATTCACTAGTGTTAACCTAGAATAAATCCCCCTACCACTCTTTGGAAGTAGACTATCTTGTAATAGCCTCTCTCTTGTGCTCATATCTTCATCTTTGTATTTTTTTTTCTTTCTCTACTCAGTCTCCATCCATCTCTGCTTTATCCCTGTCTCCATCTCTCTCACTCTTTCTCTCCTCTCCATTTTAAAACATAGATGTATAGCAACCCAAAGTGTGATCTATATTCTGAATTGCTTTTTAGCACTCCTGGAGGGCCCAGCCCTTTGCTGCTTTGGTATTGGGGAAGCGCAACTGCTTTAGATTCCCTGCCACAGCCACGCACTCCCTGCTTAGGGGTATTTGTATGATAGTAATGGAGTTCGGGGAGTTCCCCTAGAGACTTCTGGTGGGGACTTGTAGACTAAGTCTGAAAGCCAAAAACAAAACAACAAGGGATATTTGTGAACTAATTAGATTATGCAGCCAATTTGATTGTTTAGAAAGATGATTTATCTTAGCTGCTAAGATAAACAAAAAATACTTACACTGAACAAAAAAGTTGCAGGGCCAGCTGTGGTGGCTCATGCCTGTAATCCCAGCACTTGGGGAGGCTGAGGCAGGCAGATCATGAGGTCAGGAGATCGAGACCATCCTGGCCAACATGGTGAAACCTTATCTCTACCAAAAATACAAAAATTAGCTGGGCGTGGTGGCACGTGCCTGTGATCCCAGCTTCTCGGGAGGCTAAGGCAGGAGAATTGCTTGAACCAGGGAGTTGGAAGTTGCAGTGAGCCAAGATTGCCCCGCTGTACTCCAGCCTGGCAACAGAGTGAGACTCTGTCTCAAAAAAAAGAAAAAAGTTGCTTCAGGAAAAACTCTTTTGAGAATATTTGCTGATTCTCTTATGGACTTTAGTGTCAACAAGGTCATCAGAAATTATGATCAAGACCTGGTAACAAGTTGAGAAATAAGTTTGTGTGTGACTTCTGATTAATGCTAACAGATATATTTTTAAAAATTCCAATTCATTTTGTAAGCTTGCAATCTGCAATTGGTGTTGAAGAAGCCATTTTATGGAGCATTTCATCATCTGGATACCAGATGTTCTGGAGTATATGCTTTTTTTTTTTTTTTAAATGACCCATTTTATGGAATTTTTTTTTTTTTTTTTTTACAGTCTAGGGATAACTCATTTTCATAGTCTGCAGAAAAACTCATGTTAGATGCATAGTGATTTCTCTCTATTCAAACTATTAATGCTTTGTATCATGTAGTTTTATATATTCTCATTAAATCAATTCATATTTACTGTTAGGATGAACCCATATTTACTTACAGCCTACTATGAGCAAAGCACAGTACTACAAATTGTGGAGAGTTATGAATGCTGATTTCAAAAAAGGTTCTAAACATTTCTTTTGATGAGGTGATAAGACAGCATGTAAATTTGCAATAGAAAAGGTAAGGTACTGCATACACAATGCTCTTTAGGACAAAGTCCACCCACTATTAAAAGCAAGGAGTCTTTAGCTGGGGAATCATTTGTTTAGTTGGCTTTTGCAGGACTGACGGTAGGATCAGTGTCGTCCCGCTATTTAAATTCCCCTTTCCTTGGGAGCTTCCTGTCACAGTTTTTTTGAGGCTCTTGCCTACGTGTCATGTCGCATTAGTGAGCACAGGCCACATGGGACTTGGCTAGGATAGAAAATCCTGTATTTCTTTGGAGGAGGGAAAAAAAAAAAAGCCCTCACATTCATTTCCAGTTATTCATTTATCATCTTAAGGTCCATCCCAGATCTAAACTGTCTAGATCTGAACTGTTTAGATCTGAAATGTTGGTTTTTGGTTAGATGTTAATTGAGGGACAAATCGTCAGTTATTTTGATGTTAGTTTGTTGTTTGACTTTTTATAAAAATAATTTAAGGCAATTTACAATGATGTATATGATATTTGAAAAAAAAAAAAAAACCCAAAAGGAACAGCCTGGGCATGGTGATTCACGTCTATAATCCTAGCTCTTTGGGAGGCGGAGGCGGATGGATCACTTGAGCCCGGGAGTTTGAGACCAGCCTGGGTAATATGACAAAACTCCATCTCTACAGAAAAAAAAAAAGAATACAAAAGTTAATCAGGCATGGTGGCATGTGTCTGTTATTCCAGCTACTCAGTAGGCTGAGGCAGGAGAATTGCTTGAACCCAGGAGGCGGAGGTTGCGGTGAGCTGAGAGTGAGCCATTGCACTTCAGCCTGGATGACTGAGTGAAGCCCTGTTAAAAAACAACAACAACAAAATAAACAAAACAAAACAAAACAACAACAACAAAAAAAAACAAGGAACATAGGAAAGTGAAGCCAAGATAAAATAAGGATGGGAAAAGGCAAATGAACCAGCAATGAACTCACCTATAACTTCTCACATCACAAATTCTATCTGTTCTTTAAAAAGATACTTCTAGTTCCTGAAGTGATGCTACTTTCCCCACCTGTTGCTTTCTTCTGTAAGTCACTATGTTGCCTTATAAGACTCAAGGTGGCTAGCAGAGATGGGGAAAGAGATTCTCTTTTTTATTTGCCAGCATTTGCAGCACGTCTCGACCTGCCTTGGGTGCAGAGGGAAAGCTGCTTGATATGTTATTATGGTTCAGGGTTGCTTACTAATTCTTAGAGTGAGCAGAGATCTGAAATAACCCCAACCACCCCCTAGCTATGGGAGCTTTCTACATTATCCTTAGCAGGTGAGCATCAGTATCTTTTATTCGTGTTCACTACATATAAAGCATTTGCTGGACTTGGACATATGTTATGCACTTGGGACAGAAAGAGCTACCATTTGCAGTTCTTGTCTTTGAAGAGCTTAGAGATAGAGACCTGTAGGATGCTGGTTTACTTAAGTATTCAAACATGCCTTTGTAGCCTCCTAGAAATACTAAAAGTGTACTTTACTATTACCAAACTGCATCTCTATCTCCTGACTTGTAGACATGTCCATAATATATTGTTAAATGAGAAAAGCAAGGGGAGAGTAATGTGAAAAGTAGGATTCTTTTCCTATAAAAACATATGCCCCTCTGCCAAATATATGTGTTTGTGTGCTACTGTAGGTTTGCATAAGCAAGGAGAAGATATGTCGAAAGATCTGCATCAAACTGTTAACCTTGGTTAATATTAACAACTGGTTGAGATTGATTAGTAAGGGGAAGTTTAGGGGAGAGGCAAGAGGATTAGCTTCTCCTTTAAACAGCACAAATGCTATTAATTATGATAACAATACAAAGCAATTACTAATTGCAATAATATTGCTGTTAATACAATAAGCGTGTATTGCAATTTTAATTTGAAAGGCACTACTTAAAGTTTTAGGATCACAGTTAACAAATGAAAGCTGTTTGTTTAGATCTAAATTTTTGGTTTTTGTTTTGATCAGCACATCATGCAGCGAATTCAGAGGCTTCAGGCTGACTGGGTCTTGGAAATAGACACCTTCTTGAGTCAGACGCCCTATGGGTACCGGTCTTTCTCAAATATCATCAGCACCCTCAATCCCACTGCTAAACGACACTTGGTCCTCGCCTGCCACTATGACTCCAAGTATTTTTCCCATTGGGACAACAGAGTGTTTGTAGGAGCCACTGATTCAGCTGTGCCATGTGCAATGATGTTGGAACTCGCTCGTGCCTTAGACAAGAAACTCCTTTCCTTAAAGGTATCTGTTTTCCGCTTGTTGATTCCTAGGATAAAGTACATTAGCAGTAACTCAGAGTGAATTCTAGAATCCTTGGTCGAATGAGAAGTCTCCATTTAGAAATGGAGACTTTTGGTATATTTTTATTATGAATATTAATTGAAAGATTTCATGATTTGGAATATCAACCACGGGCAATAAACTTAAGATACGTGGCAAAGCATTCATTAATTGGTACCTGATTTCTCAGCCTTGAATGCACATTAAATTAAATGCAACATTTCTTTGTGAAAAATGAAGGAGGAAGTTTGTTTCAGGTATAGTATGAGAATTGTGTTTTGTAATGAACTATGTTTATTTCTTCTTGTTTCTTCGACCATGAAACATTACAACCTTCTGATCTGAGAGATGGTAGCTCTTGGCTTGGAGGAGGGAGTTGCAGCAAAGTGGTTCTGAAGTGGAGAGTGGGAAATTCAGACCTATCAAGATGAAAAAGCATGAAGCAGAAATGCATTATTGTTATTATCTGTGAATCTCAGCTCCATTTTATGTAGCATAGCAGAGCTTTTGTTATGCTCTCAGCTCAAAATACTTCTGGGACTCTCAGATGTTATTTCAGTCTTGGTGTTCTTAAGGGTATATGGGAAAAAGTGCTAAACTAGATGAAGACATTTTGTTCTGATATCGCTCATAACCAAGTAAACACAACAAAGCAAAAACAAAAAACTTTGTTCTCAGGCAACAAATGCTTTGTTCCCCCCTCAGAGCTTTATGAATGGTCCAGCCTTTGATACAATTGGGGTAAAGAAGTAAAAGGTTTATCTTGTAATGGAAGTAATAGAGATATTTGGTTCTATTTTTGCTGGATATACTGAACTTGAAGAAAGCAAGACTTGTTTATACCCTCTCAGTCTCCTTTTCACTTATTTTTTGGTTTGTTTTGTTTTCTGAGCCTTCTACAATGCCTTTGTCCCATGCATTGCCCTGCTTTTAACTAGTTTCCTTCCCCAGCAATTGGATGAAGGAGTTCAGAAGCTGATGCAAAAGTCTGATTTTTCATATTTGCACTTCTAGTATAAGGACACAAAATGAAGTATGACTTGAAGACATTGCTCTGTTTAATGGATGTATTTTCTCCGAGTGAACTCCTTTGCTTTTTCCCATATAGCTCTACCTGCTTTTGGTGACCAGAAACATTAATAGAAAGGTCTGAATGTATTATTGATTGGGGTCATCATTAAAAAAATTCGAATCAACATATACATTCTCATAGTAATCCTTTCTGTTAGAGATAAATGGTGAGGTGGGTATTTTTTTTTTTTTTTTTTTTTTTTTTTTTGAGACGGAGTCTTGTACTGTTGCTCAGGCTGGAGTGTAGTGGTGGGATCTCGGCTCACTGCAAGCTCCTCCTCCCGGGTTCACGCCATTCTCCTGCCTCAGCCTCGGAAGTAGCTGGGACTACAGGTGCCCGCCACCACACCTGGCAAATTTTTTGTACTTTTAGTAGAGTTGGAGTTTCACCGTGTCAGCCAGGATGGTCTCGATCTCCTGACCTCGTGATCCGCCTGCCTCAGCCTCCCAAAGTGCTGGGCTGGGATTTACCAGGCGTGGAGCCCACGGGCACCCCAGCCCCGGAGATGGGGGAATTTTTTTAAAGAGGCTGTTTTTTGGAATGGCAGCAGACTTTGAGAGTATCAGATTTATTCTTCCAGTTATATGTTTTAACTAAATTTGTATTGAGGATTAAGTTCTTTAGCTGTCATGGATTGAGTAGACGGTGGTGGAAAGTGACCTGAAAGAGCACTGGATAAGTAGACTGGATTATTCCCAACTCTTCATAGCCCCACTTCTCTCCAGTAATAGGACTGTCGTTACACATCCACATCCTTTGTCTGGTAACTTTGCTGTGCCCTCCCACTGTAGCCAGTTGTACTTCCTCATCCCTTCACTCTGGACTTGGTTATTTGATTTGCCTTAGCCCATGGGATGTTAGTAGAGATGACACAAGCAGAGGCTGGAAGTGTGCATGTACCATTGGGCTTGCTCTCCCATGTCTTTGCCATAACCATGAGAATGGCATGCCCTGGCTAGCCTGCCAGTCCCAGCAGAAGGATGAAACACCTGGAGCAGAACCAACCTCGCTGACTGCACGGTGAAGCAGAGCTGCTCCAGTCAAACCCATTCTAGATCAGCTGCTCCCTAGCCGACCAACAGAGGTTATGTATCCCAGGAAGATACATGATGGCATTTCAAGCCACTGTGTTTGGGGTGTTATTCTATTCTATTATTGTGCCATTAGCTAACTGATATAGCCTTAAATGGGGAAAGACTGCAGATAACCCACTGACTATGTGAACACCGGTAATTAGGCATTCGTAGTGTTACCATGTAGACCTTCATACATCAGGCCAGTCAGATTCTCCTAGCTCCAAGGTACTAGGCTGAGTTACTAGCAACAAAGGCCATGGCTATTTTTCTGCCATTCCTGAAATGAAGCAAAAAGAGCAGGTTGCCTCAGGGGACTCAGGATAAATGTCCACAACAGTTTACTGCTGGCTAAATGAATGGATATTAGACAAACAGAATGAAAGTAAATCGTTGTACTGATCACTGGAGTCACCCAGCTGTTGAAGTTTCACTGAGGTACTTGAACTGTCAAACCTGCAAGAGATAAAATCTACCTCCTTTTGCCTCTGCCCTGGGCATGAGCAGAATGCTTCTTGTCCCAACCGGTCCCGTTCTGCCCTCTTGTTCTGTGATTATGTTGCCTGATTTGGAGCTAGAACTTTCAAGGCCCTTTAAACAACTGGAAGCTTAGAATGTCTCTACTGAAGTAAGCAGCTTACAATTTTTGCCAATGAGAAAATCTGTTTAATTATTTAATGCTGATTAAACTCTGAGTGCATTTATATTGTACAAACATGTCCTCTGCTTAATGCTCTCCAGGAGTTATGGAGGATTCAAATCAAATTAAACTGTGCTTTCCTCATGGCATAATTAAGGAGCAATACGAATGATTAGCATATAAAATTAACTTAGTTTTCAGATGATAAAGACAATTTTTTTCTCCTTTGAAATCACTGTTAAAACAATCAGGGAAACTCCATTTTTTGAAGAAACTAGAGAACATCTGTGACTAGGAACCACAATATAAAGACAGAAGTTGGATGGAGAAATGGCAGATGATATATCAGAGCGGAGAGAAGTCACGCTGTCCTGGAGAGGGAAGAAACGGAAGAAGCCAGTGGTTTTCCTGATAGAATCCCAAAAAGGCTCAGTGACTGGAGATGTAATAAGCTGAGGAAGGCAGGGGGAGGAAGGGACTGGAGTGGAGAGTGTTTGGAAATCTGTTGAAGGAGTATGTGGATATAGAGATTCCCACCCTACACTAGAGAGGCAGATGAGTGCCCCTTGTGCCTTTGCCAGAGATGAGAAAATATTTTTCTAGAGAATTTGAACCAGGGAGGTTATGGAATTGAGAATAGCAAGTACAGAGGAGGGTGACAGTGAGGTACCCCATGGAAACAGGGGAGATTACGTGAAAGCTTACACATTGAACAGTGAGATCTACAGTCTCTCTCCCATCTTCAGCACCAGAAAGCCATCAGATAGGAAACTGGAGGATTCTTCTTCAGAGAATGTGAACTACCCCACAGAAAAATCCGAGATGGTGACATTCAGTAATCCTCAATGAAAACACTGGCTGGGCACCAGATTGCCCTGCAGTGAAGCCAACCAATCTGTGTCTCCAACTAGCATTTTAATATCTTATTCTTTAACATGAATGAACACAAAGGATGACATTTGAGGACAGACTCCAGCATGAAAGAAAGGGCCTGGAGCAGTGGCTCATGTCTGTAATCCTAGCACTTTGGGAGGCCAAGGTGGGAGGATTGCTTGAGGCCAGGAGTTTGAGACCAGCCTGGGCAACATAGTGAGCCTCCCTCTCTAAAAAAAAAAAAAAAAAAAAATTAGCTGGTTATGGTGGCACACACCTTTAGTCCTAGCTACTTGGGAGGCTAAGGCAGGAGGATTGGTTGAGCCCAGGAGTTCAAGGCTGCAGTGCATTGTAATTGAGCCACTGCACTCCAGCCTGGGCAACAGAGTGAGACTCTGTCTCTTAAATAAATAAATAAATAATTTTTTTAAATGTAAAAAAAAAAAAGAAAGAAAGCAAAACAAATAATACAAATTTAAAATGAAGTTGGAGGAAATACAGCAGAAAATGACTTGAAGGACACTGTTCCAATATTCTTACAGAGATAAGACGAGACGTTATATCTATGCAACAAAACCAGAATGCTGCAATAACAGAACAATCAGTCAACAAGAAGGAGCTTTTGGAAATTAAAATTTCTATTTTTAAAATAAACAAATCAATAAAACAGTTGGATCCTAAAGTAGAAGAAATATCTTTGTTTTTAGAAAGAGGAATGACAAAAAGGAGATGATTTGACTTCTGGAGAATAATTGTAACAATTCCAGTAGGTCATATAAAAAGTATTGGGAATGAGAATGACACTGGACTTCTCAATAGAAACTTTGGGAGCTAGAAAACAATGAAATTATGCCTTAAATATTTTAAATAAAAATAATTTGCAACCCAGAATCTTCAGGCCCAGACAAATTAAATAGGAAAATAGAATGAAGACATTTTCAGAGGTAAATCTCAACAATTTTCACTCCCATGTACCGTACTTTTCCCCCCAGAAATTGCTTAAAGCTGTGCTCTAGAAAAATCAAGAAAAAAATCAAGGAAGAGGGAGTCATGGAGTTCAGCTCACTGGGGGTCCCATATAGAAGGGGCAGAAATCTGCACAGTGATGGTGAGGGGAGCCCCAAGATAACAGATGGGCAACAGGCCTAGTGGTTGGTCCAGGCTGGAGCAGGCAGCAGAGGGCTCCGGAAGGGCCCATTCTTAAAAAACAAAATCAGACAGACACATGAGGAATAAAGGTGTGATAGTGTCTGGAACGCTTGACCACATAATGGTGAAGACATATTAGGCTCAAAGAAAACAAAGCAAATGAAAGAGAGGCCTGTGGTGAGGAATGGTGGGAAATAGGTTTGCAGAGGCAGGACGAACTGGATTGGGATGTTTGTGTATATGGGAAACTACAGAAAGAGAGATCCCCACTGGCTTTTGGTTTGAGTGACTGCAAGGGTGGTGTTGCCATCCTTTTGGTTGAGGAGACTGTTGGTAACACATTTCCGGGGGAACCTCAGGAGCTGAGTTTTGACACTTTGTTTGAGGTGTCTATTAATGTCTGTGTAGAGATCTTCATTTGGCAGCTGAATATGTAGTCTGGAGATTGGTAGTGAAGTCAGGGCTGGAGATATATTTTTTGGAATTGACATATACGTGTGTGTGTTTTGTGTGTGTGTGTGTTGTGTTGTGTGTGTGTAATATAATATAATATAATATAGTATAGTATAATATAATATAATATAATATAATATAAATGTATATATTGAGACCAGTCTGGGCAACATACTAAGGCTCTGTCTCTACGATATTATTATTGTTATTTTAAAATAGTTATATTAAAAATTCTCTACACACACACAACACAGCACACACATACACACACAAGACAACACACACAAACTCACACATATATAATTTAAAGCCTCAAGAAGAGATATCAAGAGAGTGAGTGAGTGTGGACAGAGAAGAGAAGAGAACCATGGAGCAAGCCCCCGGGGCTCTCTAGCATTAAGAGGGAAGCGAGATGAAGGGAACCATTAGTGCTAAGGGAGGAGGAATACAGTATCTTAGGAACCAAATGAAGCAAGTGTAGCCAGGAGGGAGTGATTAACTATGTCGAATGCTGACAATAAGTCAAGAGAGATGAAGACCGAGAGTTGACCACTGGATGTAGCCATGTAGAGTCATTGGTGATCTTGACAAAAGCAGTTTCAGTACATGGTGGAGATAAAACCCAACTGGACTAAGTTTAAGAAGTGGGATTGGAGACAGTGTGAATAGACAACTCCTTCAAGGGGTTTTTGCTGTAAATGGAATTACAAAATTGGGCAGTAGATGGTGGAGATAGTGAGGTCAAATGTTTTAAGATGAGAAAAGCAACAGCATGTGTCTTGGCTGATGGGAGTTATCCAGCAGAGATAGAAAGATTGATGATGTAGGAGAGAAATGGCATTTGCTAGAGCAATGTCCTTGAGCAGATGAGAGGGGATAGGATTTTGTGCACAAGCAGAGAGATTGGCATCTAATATGAGCATGACAGAAAGAAATCAAGGTCATCGGTTGGGAATGAAGATGGGTGAGGTGACAGGGAGAGGAGGAATGTGAAATCTTAGAAGAGTACCAGAGTGACTGAACTAAGAAAATACAGCATGACTTGCCAGTCAACATGAAAGGCCAGTGTGAGGTTTGTGGTCATGAACTTTAAGCAAGGCCAGACAGTGTGGTTATGTATTTTTTCTCTGGCGAGGTTTAGCTGCATGAGTGCCGGCACAAAGTAGGTAGAGAGTGGGACTTAATGTTATGTTTTTGCCATGAAAGTTTGACCAAGGCAGAGAGGGGCAAGGGAGTTAAGGGTGTAGCTAGTAAGCAATTGGAATGATTGACTGGAATTTAAGCCAAATATAGAGTGAAGTGAGGACATTATGGGGGTGAAGGACTGTGAAAAGGTAAAATATTCAATAGATTAGGGGTTCCAGTGGGATTGAAGGATTTTGAAGTTTAGAGTAACAGGCCCAATCTGAAAGACAGGGATTATTGTCAGACAGAGGAAAGTGTAAAATCAATCAGAATCTAGTCACTCTTTTTAGTTCTGTTCAAACACTGTCTTTTTCATAAAGCTTTCCTTGGAACTCCAGGATTTTGCTTCTCATTCTATCCAATTTCTAGAGGACTTTTATGTTACATTTGTGGCTGGTGGCACATTTTGCCATGCTCATGTATTTGTTTTATCTCTCCCCAACCCAACTAAAGTATAGGCTATTTCAAGGGAAGGGCTATAATTATTATTCTTTGTGTCTCTGTAGCATTCCTAGGGCAGAGTCAGTACAAAATTGAAGACTTAAATAAGGTGAGAAGCAAGAAAGATTTACAGTTGTTTCAGGTTGGATTCCCCAGGAAGCACCCTCTGATATGGAGCTTAGCATTCAGGTCACTTACTAGGGAGTGGCCTTGGATCAACACAGGTATTAGGGAGGGGAAAGAAATGGTGTTGGACGGAGGGAGAAGTCGAGCTGCAGTGCAGGTTCAACAATGGCCTCAGCCAACCTCTGGGGAGCCCTGGAGATATGACGGCTCTTTAGGGAGCCCCCAGTGCCTGTGTAGGTCAGCACCGGATGTAGGACACTCCCAGGAGGCACAGCTGAGACAATTCCTAAAGTGACTGACGGCTCTCCCAGCAGCTGAGGCAACACACCCTCTTGTAGGGGAAGTGGGTGATGTATCACACGATTCATCAGAGCACTTCCATTGTTTCAAAATTCTGTGAGGAGTAAGAAAAAACATAAAAGACTTCTATTTTCAGAGGGAATGGAAGAAGGTGGTTTACATGGGTGAGGACTGTGGGAGGTGTGATGACTTTTGAAGCGGAAGTGGTGTGGAATAAATTTTGGCATAGTTTCACTTGCTTTGGTATCTTCCTTTCTTTATGGCACATCTATCTTTTTGCCCAATTAATAGAAAATCATGCTATTTTTCATCATCACTGTATTTTTTTTTGCTATCTTTTTATTGTTGTTTTTACCAGACTGTTTCAGACTCCAAGCCACATTTGTCACTCCAGCTGATATTCTTTGATGGGGAAGAGGCTTTTCTTCACTGGTCTCCTCAAGATTCTCTCTATGGGTCTCGACACTTAGCTGCAAAGATGGCATCGACCCCGCACCCGCCTGGAGCGAGAGGCACCAGCCAACTGCATGGCATGGTTAGTCTGGGCAATTTCCATGGCACTGTAGCTGTAGGCTCTCCCTGCAAGGAAAAGGTTGCAAAAGCCAAGTAAAGACCTAAAAATGCCACAGTATCCTCGGAGCAGAGTGTTTATGATAGAACATTCCTTGGCAGGCATTGGGTTTTTGAGGAATCCCAGAGCTAAAAAGAATGATTCTGAACTGGCGCCGTGGCTCATACCTGTAATCCCAGCGTTTTGGGAGGTTGAGGCAGGAGGATCACTTGAGCCCAGGAGTTTGAGACCAGACTGGGCAACATAAGGGGACTTCATCTCTACAACAAATAAAATAATTAGCTGGGTGTGGTTGTGTATGCCTGTAATCTTAAGCTACTCAAGAGGCTAAGGCAGGAGGATTGTTTGAGCCCAGGAGTTTGAGGCTGCAGTGAGCTATCATTGCTCCATTGCACTCCAGCCTGGGTGACAGAGGGAGACCCTATTTAAAAAAGAAAGAAAGAAAGAGACAGAGAGAAAGAGAGAGAGAAAGAAAAGAAAGAAAGAAGAAAGAAAGAAAGAAAGAAAGGAAGGTAGATTGCTCGTTTGAAGCCATGTTTGACTGAGCTTAATTAAAATGATAAAATGATGTAAAAAATTAGATTACAGGAGCAGCAGATTCACTTGGGCCCAATGGGAGCCCATTCCCCCAGTACTGTGTGGAGGTGGAGAGAGCAAACCCCTTTTTTGAGGTCTTTATAAGTCTCAAGAACATGGGGCTTTGGGAAATGGAATACAAGAGGGGTGGGGGTGAAGAATTTCCTTGTGACTTCAAAGCAGTACTGTGACTCCAGTGTGACTATGACAGTTTGATGTGTTGGTTTTGATGTGGCATTTTTGACATGGGGGTGGGGATATTTTGATGCTGCCTTAAAACCCTGCTATTATTACTAAGTAATGGGTGCAACACACAGCCTCATTTTCACCCCCATTCCTGGGCCCACACTCCATCCCTAATCCCTCCCCTGGCCCCTGTATCCTCTCCTGACTCTGACTCTCTTCCCATATTTGATCTTCATTCTGTCCCCACATCTTCACTAACCCCAACTTGGAACCTCATGCTACCCTTGAGACTTCACTCTCCCCGGTGCCTTCATCCCTCCCTGAAGCTCACCCCATCTGTGAACTGATAGCTTATTCCCAGCACCCCTACTCATTCCTACCCATTGACCTGTCACTGACCTTCACCCTATAAAAGTCCAAATGGCCACATTCTATGTCCTCTATGACCCTAACACACCTCCTGTTGGCATTTGCTCCCTCCTGTTATCCATTGGCAGCTCCTAATGGGCCAGGGGAATGTGGTCAGCATCTCATTCATTCACTTGTGCCCAAGTCCCCAAAAAGCATTCAGAACATATTCACAAGAGAAGAGGCCTGGTTGATCAGTAGCAGAACAAAGTTATTTATTTATCAGTCCAAATATATGAAGCCACAGTGATTCATATATTTGGACTGATAAATAAATTTGTTGATGAAGATCATTATTTTCCAGAAACAGACCCTTAATAGATTATCCAACCTTGTGAATATGTTCCTATTTCAAACAAGCCTATTTTTTCTTACAACAAATATATTGAATTTTCATTTATGAATTTATTCATACTATGTCGTTAGGATCACAAACTCTGAAAATATTTATCTACTATGTGTTAGGATGTATGCTAAATATTTATCCACACATTATTTTACTTAGGTAAATCAGGAGGTCTTAATCTAGTAAGTAGTCTTCAGAGAGTCCTCGTGATGAGATGATAGAGAGCTATAATCAGAAGGAAGTTTTAGAGATCAGCTAGTTTGAGCTTCTTATTTGATACACAGGGAAATGGAGATCCAGAGACACAATGTTATATAGCTCTTGTGCAAGGAATTTTTCTTAGATACTACTTGATCAATAAATAATTACTATGCAAGTGCCTTCCTTTGGGAGTTTTATCATTACAGATTAAGGATAAAATGACTACACAGAGTGGAATAGAAGATCAGACAGGCTAGGACTCTTTTCTGAAAATAAATGTATGCTTTTAAAGTCCACAAAATATTTATTCAAATGTCTTCTTTCTAATTTATCCTTAGTGATATCCTTTTGGAATTACATACACAAATAATACTTTGCTATTTGTCCACATTGCATAAGCATGATTGAAAGAGTTCTCCAAAACAATTAGCATACAATGTTAGTAAATCTTTTGTTCATTTATATAGCTTCCCATATTATTCTCAATTACTAAAATGCAGTTAATTCTAGCTGATTGTATTTCCCTATTGATGAATATAAAATGTGTTTTGGCGATGGTGATTAAACATTACTTTTTCTTCCTTAGGATTTATTGGTCTTATTGGATTTGATTGGAGCTCCAAATCCAATGTTTCCCAATTTTTTTCCGAACTCAGCCAGATGGTTTGAAAGACTTCAGGCAATTGGTAAGCACCACTGTTATTAATGAATAAAACATAATTCCTTCCTACTGACAGATACTACATTTTAAAATTCAAAATTTACAATTTGGCCGTGCACAGTGACTCACGTCTATAATCCTAGCACTTTGGGAGGCCAAGGCACGCAGATCAGCTAGGGTCAGGAGTTCGAGACGAGCCTGGCCAACATGAAATGGGGGTTTCATGTTTAGTAGAGACGGGGTTTCAATAAAATCAGCTGGGGTGTGGTGGCGGGCACCTGTAATCCCAGCTACTTGATAGGCTGAGGCATGAGAATCACTTGAACCTTGGAAGTGGAGGTTGCAGTGAGCCAAGATGGTGCCATTGCACTCCAGCCTGGGTGACAGGGTGAGGCTCCATCTCAAAAAAAGAAAAAAAAATTGTAATTTAAATGTATGATTTAAATGTATAATATACTTTATTGGCTTTTATTATTACTTTATTGATTAGTTGTTTACTATTTTCATCTTTGTAGTAAGCCCAGTTTATTTTCCTGCATGAAAATGTATTTTCAAATGGAAACATAAAATACTACATTTCATGTTTGCACATCCTGAAAAATGGTTTGAAAATATTTTCCCAGAGTCCTGTTTGAAGCATGTAGAATGCATTTCAGGAGGAAACTTTACTCAACAAAGCATGTTGGCTAATGATGAATATGATGTCCTTATAATGATATCAAAATATATTCTTCAGTTTTTCTTTTCCATCTGTCTTTGCCATCTTCTATTTTCTTCCTTATCCAGATATTATTTTCCTTTAAATCTAGTACAGTCTCTGCCAATTTTCCAAAGAAGTAAGAGATCAGGATGAAGAGAAAGCCAGATCCTTCAAGATTTAGAGTCAAAAAAATGGGAGTAGACTAGGCCAGTCCAGGTCAGGCCAGGCCAGTCCTAGAAAACTTACGCATCTTTGGCGGAAGAGAGGGGCTTGGGGTTTGGAGAAAGAAAAGGAGAATGACTTCTTACCTTTGTACTTCCACCCTGCCCAAAACAAAACAAAACTCTTCAGGCATCAGGGAAAGATGAAAATTAGATCGATCTTTATTGTAGATTCCAGCCCAGGGGACTGCTTTGAAGGCAAGAATTTCATGCTAGAAATTCCTTATTAGCCACACAAACTTCTCGGAGCAAGATAGATTTGTATTACTTCTAAGCAGTGGAGAAAACACTGCCATCATAACTCACACTTTTGCCATGAGTAAAGAATTTGTCTAGAATCTTAGAGAAACTTCTACCTGAACTTCAGATGCACATCATCGGCAAATTTCATTTCCTAGTTTGAAAGAATGACTATAATGGTGTTATTAATATAAACTTCTTGGGCTTCTTCCTTGCAGCATGTTTTCCTTACTTTGATGGTAGGCTCAAGAAACTGAGATTGGCTTTCTTTCAAGGATTTTGTGCACTTTTATTATTTCCTGTACCAGAATGAACTTATGCCAATAACTTGCACCTTCATGCAATTTTAACGCATTGTACTGCCCCTCCTATTGGTATTTACTTTTCAAACCATATTTCTAGTTGTATAAGAAAAAGTTGTGTCTCATGGTAAAGGAATTATAAATACCAATAAACAGACAAGAATATTGTTTTTGGTGGTGGTTAGGGCTTTCCCAATGTTCCTAGAATCATATTACGTATGATTGATTACTAGTTGGTTTATTTTTTACCCTTTAAATTTAGCAATTAAAAAAAGCTATCCTAGGAAGGTTCATTTGGTTGTCTTATAATATTCACGTGATCTCTTGTCATCTTGTGACATACAATACGTGACTTATGTAGGCCGGTGGTTCTCAAATTTTAAAGTGGATCAGAATCACCTGGAGGGCTTCTTATAACACAGATTGCTGGACTCCAACCCCAGCATTTCTGTAAGTCTGAGGTGGGACCAGATAATTTCCATTTCTGACAAGTTCCTAGGTGTTGCTGATGTTGCTGGTCAGACATCACACTTTGAGAACCACTGATGTAGGTCACACTAGGTATCCCTTTCCCATAGAGTGGCCACTTGATACACTTCATCGCTACTCTGTTTGAGTATTCCCCTTTAAGCTCCATATCTCATCTAAGTCATTCTTCATGCAGCATCTTGGACCTAGAAGCATTTACATCTGCACCTGTGTTCTCCCCTTCCACCCAGCTGTCCTCTGTTTTTTTCATTCTCTGTCTCTCTATGGTTCTGTTGAGTTTCTACCTCTAAGGAAGTTCTCACCTGTAAGTTTAGAGCCACATGTGACTCTTCTCTCTTCCTGCTCAAAATGTACACACCCCTGTTCAACCCAGATGTTTATTGTCATGGGTGTGGCCATGCTTGCTGTTGCATAATCTTTTAAAAATTATGGACTCATGTGCTAAGATTTCAAACTCCTGAAATAAGATTACATTATGAGTCTTGATCAGATAAAAATAGTTGTTCATCTATTGTATAATTGTCATCTACAGAACATGAACTTCATGAATTGGGTTTGCTCAAGGATCACTCTTTGGAGAGGCGGTATTTCCAGAATTACAGTTATGGAGGTGTGATTCAGGATGACCATATTCCATTTTTAAGAAGAGGTAATGTGTGTGCGTGTGTGAGTGCGTGTGTGTGCGCACAGCCTGATTTTGGAGTACAACGGTGGGATATGAGAAAGTACACAGATGATGATGAATTATCAGCTGTCTTTATATGGTACAGAGCTCCCTCTGCTTGAAGAATGACACTTTCTAGTTTACTCACTGGAGTAATGTACATTGTTACAAGTTGGATCTTTCTTAATAGGTGTTCCAATTCTGCATCTGATACCATCTCCTTTCCCTGAAGTCTGGCACACCATGGATGACAATGAAGAAAATTTGGATGAATCAACCATTGACAATCTAAACAAAATCCTACAAGTCTTTGTGTTGGAATATCTTCATTTGTAACACTCTGATTTAGTTTATGATAATTGGTTCTAGAATCGAATTCAAAAGTCAAGGCATCATTTAAAATAATCTGATTTCAGACAAATGCTGTGTGGAAACATCTATCCTGTAGATCATCCTATTCTTATGTGTCTTTGGTTATCAGATCAATTATAGAATAATTATGTTGTGATATTGTGTCCTAAATTGCTCATTAATTTTTATTTACAGATTGAAAAAGAGGGACTGTGTAAAGAAAATGGAAAATAAATATCTTTCAAAAACGCTTTTAGATAAACATGATGAGGCAAAATCAGGTTCATTTATTCAATCATAGTCTTCTAAATAGTACTTAAATAGTGGTTGGAAAATGTAGCCTTCATTTTATGATTTTTCATATGTGGGAATCTATTACACGTAATACAAAACAAAGATATAGTTTGAAGGCTTTCAGATTTCTTTGAGAAATCTTTGTAGGGTTAATTTTATAGAAATTAAAATCAGAATTAAGTGCTATGTTGTGATGTCTTTTTTTATACAAAAGAAGAATGATATAATTTAATGCGTGTCCAATTTTTGTAGGGTTTTGCAAATTTAACGTTCTCATTGTGCAAATAATAGTCAATAACAAAAATTTTGGAAAATGGAGAAAACAAGAAAACTATAATCCCATTATATTGACAGAATTGCCATTAGTTCGCTTTTTAGTTTTTCCTCACTTTTTCTTTTCTTTCTTTCTTTCTTTTTTTTTTTTTTTTGAGACAGGGTCTCACTCTATTGCCCAGGCTGGAGTGCAGTGGCATGATATCATGGCTCACTGCAGCCTTGACCTCCTGGGCTCAAGCGATCCTCTCAGCTCCGCCCGATGAGTGGTTGGGACTACAGGCGTGCACCACCTAGCTAATTTTTTTGCCTGGCTAATTTTTTTTGGCATTTTTGTATGTATGTGGTTTCTCCATATTGCCCAAGCTGGTCTTGAACTCCTGGGCTCAAGCAATCTTCCTGTCTTGGCCTCCCAGGTGCTGGGATTACAGGAATGAGCCACTGCATCCAGTCTCCTCACATTTCTTAAATGCAGATTTTTCTTATAAAGGTATAATCAAACTATATTACAATTTTTTTATTACCTGTTTTTTCCTGTTAAACGATGTAATTACTAGGCATATATTTGCTGTTTTGGTTTTGGATTGAGGTGAGGACAGAAAAAGACTGCTGAATGTGAACTCTAGAGTCAATATTAAGGTAACACAATAGTACAGCAGTAGTTGTGACAATTTTTGTTTAGGTAGATTATGGTATTCAGTTTGGTTAGTTACTTAGAGCATTTTTTTCTGGAAATACATAGGCATTCACAAGTTGTCTTTAGCTACAGGAAACAATTATCTAGAAATACAAACTTGATCAATTAAATAATTAGGAAATTGTTCCTGGCATACAGATGAAGTTAGTTGGGGCCACTGTGTTCTGTGTGTTCCCTGTTCAGACAAGACATTTAGTAAATACTCAGTGAATTAATGTGCCAAGTGACAATGGAAGTCATTGGGAAAGTAATTTACTTGCTAAAACATAGTTTTCAGGTAAGAAAAGGATAAAAACAATTTCATCTATTTGACTATGCAAATTATATAGAAGAATATAGTGAGAATTATATATGCATACTTAGATATATTTTATGCTATATATAACATTTATATATAAATATATATATATTACATTTATATATATTTATATATAACATTACCTGTCTATAGTTTCACGTTGGTAAATTTTATAGAATTAGATTTTTCTAGGATTCCTTTTTATTTTCCAAATGTCCTTCCAAAGTCATGCATGTCCTTCTAAAGTCATGTAAAGGAATGTCGTGCCTCTGTGAATTAATGATATTCAGAGCTAACACTTACTGAGTGCTAACTCTGTGCCAGACAGTCACATGTGCTTTATATGTTTTACTAACTTAATCCCCACAACAATCGTGTGAGGTAGGTGGTATTTGTAAACTTACTTTATGAGGCTCAGAGTAATTAAGTGTATTCTCCAATATTACATAACTAGTAAGCGGTCATAGTGGGATTTGTACCCAAGAAGTCTAGCTCTAAAGCTTATGCTTGGGAACTGCTCTAGAATGTTGCCCCTTTACATGAAAAGAACTATGCAGAATATTCCTGATGCCAAATGCAAAGCAATAGTTGTATCTTGAAATTTTTATAGGTCATTTCAAACTGGGGATGCAGTCTTAGGTCATTGCTGCCACGATTCACCTGACAACTTAGGCTTCAGAGACACATAATTTCCATGCAGAATGATTACTCTGCCATAGCGAAGGCTATTTTTGCATAAGCGTGGGCATATACAAATCAACGCAAGTGGTTCTGGGCTAAAGTATCTAAGCCACAAAGCAGGATTAAAAGAGCTGAGTTTTCTGGATTAATTTTTTGGATGAGAGAAAACATTTGAAAAGAGTTCAGGGAAAACACATTTTTTTTTTTTTAACATGAGAAAAGAAATGGTCTAACAGACTGAGGATATTAAAACACAATGAAATGAAGTTTTAATGAGGAACCTAAACATTAGTTGACAGTACTGCATACATAATTGTAAGTCTAAATGATAAACTCATTTGGAGGCAAAATGAAATTAATAAGAGATCTACTATAATCTGTTGAGTTCACATTAGTTCAATTATTTTTAGAGGAGGTTGGTGGATGTGTTGAAATGGGATAAAAGAAAAAATAAAACCATAAGCAGCTTAATTCAGTGAAGGTTTTCGTCCTTTGAAAAGACATATCCTCAAATTCTACTCACTAAGAGTTTGCACTGATAAGGGAAAAGCAGCCATGATGTCATAAACGGAGACATTTTAAAGCATTAACCAGATATTAATCTCTGAAATATGCTCTGTGTAATTCATGCCAGTCAGAAATATTACTTTTTAAAAATTATAGCTGCAAAGACAGTGCTCCATAAACATCAGGTTGCATTTGGAATTTTTCTATGTGCATTTTGGAGCATTTTACGGCCCTAAGAGAACAATTTGTATGTTTTGTCTATTACTGTCAACCCTGCAATACGTAGGGCTATTTTTCTTCTTTAAGAGAAACGAGTTCAAAGGAAAATATTCAAAAAAGAGTATTCATAACCTTGGCATCTAAAAAAAATCATGAGCCTGTTATTGTAGCTTGAGGGTTGTGGCTGGAAGAGAAAAGACAGATCCTTCAAAATGGAGAAATGTTTTAGATGGCAAAGCAATTGTCATTAAGAATAAAGCCCATGTTTTCAGCTCCAACTTCAAATCCTTAAGCAGTTTATTTCATGAAGCTTCTTTCTTCCATCAAAGAAATGCATTCATTATGGTGCTGCAGCAAAATCATGTGAAAACTGAACGTTTCCTCAATCAACTTGGCCCAGCTGGAGGTGATTACTTTGTGTAAAGGAGGGACGATGGACACGATTCAAGACGCTTCCATTTCATTAATGTACAGACAGCCCTGCAGGAGGCTTGGTCACAGTATATTCTGCGGAAAATCAAGGCTCAGTTTCTGTGCAAGACCTGAATCTGAGGAACGAAGGTGGGAGAGGGGAATAGAAGAAATAAAGAGAAGATGAGGGAGACTATTCAGGACAGCGGCAGTAAGTTAAAGCAAAGCTAATGTAGAAAATTTGGGGGAAATTATTTAAATTTGCTATTCATCTTAAGTCATGGGGCTGTGCTTTCAGGGCCAGCCTCCCCCTAACTTTTGGCTTCAAAGATGAATGAACGAAAGATTGAGGTTTCACTCTCAGTTTCAGGGCCACTTTTTACGCAGCCTGAAATTCTAAAAGTGGTTTTGAAGTGGTTTAACTGCCTCCCCTTACTTCCCTTTCGTCTATCGCTTCTGTGTCTTTTATGGTACATCTTTTCCATCCCTCAAATAGTTACTGCTTTGTTGCAAGGGGCAGATAGCATAGTGTAAAGCTACTGCTGTGTTCCAAGGGGCTGAGGTGGAGAGAAAAGGTTGTTAGCTGGCTGAGCCAGTAGGGTGGCATAGGATACCCCTCAAATGCTCGTACACATGAACATTGGCCCCAGGCTCTTGGCAATACATCCAGCAGCAATAATTTATGACAGTTTTATAGAGAGCTGGGATGAAAGGACTGGCTTGTGTCATGGCTGTATTCCTCAGCCGGAATTTGGTTGGTGTACGCACGCAATGTGAAGTCATCTTATTGTGCTCATATTTCAAAGGCAACACATGGAACAGCGCCCACTCTCCTGACATATCTGAATCTGCCAGTGAAGAGTTTAGACCATTTGTTTGAGAATTAACATTAAGAGCACACAATCGCCAAGAAGGGAAAATAGCATGGCTTAAAGCAAAAAAGCAAAAACAAAACAAAACAAAAACCCCAAATTCACAAAGGTTACAAAGGTAATATGAAAATAGATTTAAAAACTCATAAATTATAAACAGCACTGGAAACTTTATTCTCTTACATTTACTGAGCACTGTGTGGTACAGGAGGTCCTTGGTACTCATGGACTTAACATTTGTGGTTTTGGCTGACAAAGAACGACATGTAGTAAGTTACACGAGCTAAGAGATTGGCGTGGAGAAGTAAATGAGCATAGCTAACTACCAGCCATCAATTTCACTGTTGTTCTCTAGTCATCCTTGTAGTAACACTTGGGAAGTGATAAACCCCGTTTCTTTGTAAAAATGAACCCCTCCTCCAAGCCAACTGCTCTTGATGGAGATGTTATTGAGAGGTCTAGAAAAATGCTGGCTACAGTGAGTAGCTTTATAAGTGATTTTAATCCTTTACGAATAGATGAATTAATGTTAGGAAAAGATCACTTTAAAATTTCAGTTTTAAAACTTTATTTAATGAGGAAAATTATAAGCAACAATGGTATTCAAAAGCACTTAGGATATTTTCCTTGAGAATGTTAAAGCTCCATTTTAGGTTATGTTAGAATGATTCCATATCAAGTAACTGGTTGTGATCATCCTTTCACAGGTTTACCCATAGAGCTGTATATTAGTGTCCTCATTTTACAAATAAGTGAACACAGGCTTTCAATTATTCTCAGCTGATGCTTAGACTAGACTCTAGGGAACTTAATTTTTGATACATGACATGGCTGATTTCAGCTTGATTAGAAGGGACCTTAGAGATTTTCTACTTCACTGGCTTACTGGTTTTCAGCTACCCCCTAGGGGGCATTTGAAAATATATATGTGTGTGTGTGTGTGTGTGTGTGTGTGTGTGTGTGTGTGTGTGTGTGTGCATTTCTGTGCTTATGTAGTGGAATGGGTGGTGAATGTTTGTTTGTCATGAAGACTGAGGGGTGCTTCTGGAATTTAGTTGTCAGGGGCAAAAAATGAAGAAGGTTCAGGGCAGTTTGCACACTAGAGAATTGTCTCACCCCAAATGCCAATGGTGCCTCCACAGCACTGACTAGTTTTCAACATTCTCATTTTAAAGGTTTAGCTATCAAGATCCAGAGACGATGGATCACTTAAGATTCCCTTGGTTTG